CACTATTCAAATTTTGTTTAAATCAATGCCCCTTGATTCCCAGTCAGTACCTCCACTTGGTTTCATCCTACCAATATAAGACAGGAAATCCTTGTCACCGTTTTCTTCTTCCTGATTCAGAGCCTGTTCATCTAATAATCCCTACCTTTCTGTATGTACATACTATGTGTACATGTATATAAACTATAATCTTTATTTAAATATTGTTACTAGGGGAAAATAAATCTTACTTAAACCTGTGCAAGCAGTGTCTTGAGCATGTTTTAGCTATCATGGGACAAGCAATGCAGTTTTTTCATGCACTTTTAATATCCTGCACTTAGCTTGAAAATAATAGAAGCAAAAAGCCAGGCTTCCTTAGAAACACAATCTGCAATTTGTTAAATACAATTCTAATGTAGATATTTTTTCCTCCTAGGTTTTACCAAGAGACAGTACATCTAACACTTAACTTGGATCATCTTTTGTTCATCAGCTTGAAAAATCATAACAGCCCCGAAAACTGACACTTGATCTGAAAGAAAAAGCTGTGACAAATGGACAATATGTCTATTACTAACACGCCAACAAGTAATGATGCTTGTCTGAGCATTGTTCACAGCTTGATGTGCCATCGACAAGGTGGAGAGAGTGAAACTTTTGCAAAACGCGCAATTGAAAGTTTAGTTAAAAAGCTAAAGGAGAAAAAAGATGAATTGGATTCTTTGATTACAGCTATAACCACAAATGGAGCTCATCCTAGCAAGTGTGTTACAATACAGAGAACGCTGGATGGGAGGCTTCAGGTTAGTACAAGTGCAAATCAGATGTTTTCCTTCTAGTGCAGCTGGAGCGGAAGTGAGTGATGCAGGATCCTAGAGTGTTGAGGAAGAGTAGCTCTTCTCTTGCATCCCCCCTCACCCCCATGTGTAGGCATGTTTTGTGGCTGGGGCTCTGGACTGCTGCAGTGGTTGATTTTTTTTTTTTTTTAATTATTTTTTTCCCCCAAAAAAGGAGCAGAAGGCATGAGATCAGCTCTTCTAAATGAGTGTGTGTGGCAGTAAAAAGCAGGGTCACGTAACAAATTTGGCTGTTTATTCTGGTATTTTCACTACAAGCTTCTGTTATCTCTGCGTTGGTCAGCAGTGTGAAGAAAGACCTATGATCCCTTGCTAAGCTACTCTGAGGAGTCTGCACTGAGGGTTTATGTTAGCCTTATATTTTCAGTTCTCAGTACCTGTATAGATTGAGTTGCGATTTCCTTGATCCAGGACAGACGTCATGTTTGCTGGCTAGCTTTCTGTCTACCCTAGAAGCGTTTTTTGGGGTTTTTTTTCTTTTTTTTTTCTCCAGTATGATTGATTGGCATTCTTCTACTTGTAAATTCCTTATAGTGTAGCTTAGGGCCTCATTCATCTTCGGGGGCAAAACTCCATCATCCATGGTGGGGAAGGTGACCATACATACTACATTAAGCACAAATTCTGCTTCTGCCATTCTGTATCCAGTATTTTTTCTTAAGAATCAGTGTTGACTTAACCATAACAAAACCCTAATAGAAATTTATTTCTGAGTACAGAACTTGGGTAACATGTATACCACCTTATTTTTCATATTTTGATGATGAAGAGAGGTTGTGGTGGTGTGTGTTTGTCCTCTTCCACCTTTTTTTCTTCACGAAATGAAAGGTCTTGCTACTTTCCCAATCAACTTTTTTATCTAACTTTTTAGGTGGCTGGTCGCAAGGGATTCCCTCATGTGATTTACGCTCGTCTTTGGAGGTGGCCTGATCTTCATAAAAATGAACTCAAGCATGTTAAATATTGTCAGTATGCTTTTGACTTAAAATGTGACAGTGTCTGTGTAAATCCTTACCATTATGAGCGTGTAGTATCGCCTGGCATAGGTAAGTAGACTCTTGATTTAAAATAGAGCAGTGGGAATAAAATGTAAAATGTTTTCCTTTTGAGTGTAGAGAATACAGGTCTAAATTAGAAACATTAACTTTTAATGATCTAATTATAAATTGCTTTCATATCTTCTTGTCCATCTTCTTAATGGAGTTTTTACCTTTCTTTCAAATATAAAGAATAGTTTGTGGCTTTTGTTTAAGCCTTTCTGTTGGATTTGAACACAGTTCTTACAGTTAATGTGTACCCTAGGAATAATTTAGCATTGAGGCTTGTGTTGTGCTGGAGGGGTAGAGTATGTAGAGTCTGGAATAATAATTTGAAAAGGCTTATAAACTTAATGTTCAAACGTTGTTAAAGATCTCTGCGTATATAATCCCCCACATCCCCTTTTTTTCTTCTTTTTAAAGATCTCTCAGGACTGACACTACAGAGTTCTGGTAAGTAGTTCTGTTTACTGTTGCATTTCTATGGGCACAAACTGCATTAAGCTCTTTAGTATGTACACGGTTTATTCCTGTGTATCTCCTTGTGAGAGAGCATAGAGAGCAGATGGAAATGCATTTGTGTCTCTGGTTTTTGAAAACCAGCTAAGTAGCATATGAAAGGCAAGTATTGATAAATTCTTTAAGTTGAGGCTTGAGCTTGGCTTGCAGGTATGTTCTAATTGCCTGCAACTTATAAACCCCAGCAAAAAAAAGAAAAACAAAAACCTCACTGTTGAATGTTGCTAATTAAAAAAAAAAAAAAAACAAAAACCCACATCAGAAAAGTGCACCTGTGTATATATAGTAATTAATTGAATTTGGAATAATAGATGCTTATGATTTAATAAGTAGTTTAACAAGCAAATAATAGAAAATCTGAAATTAACAAAGCAGTCTAATATTCTTGTTCTCCTTGAAACTTGAGAGACATTGGATGTCCAATGGACGTTATTCAGAAATCTGAGATTGTGCACCTGGTAACTGCTTTGTTTCAAAACTGACTTTTTTTTTTCCTTCCAGAAAAAATTCGTAGAGGAAGGAAATCTGGGTAATCCAGTGTTTTTACCACATTATTAGAAGTATTCAAGCAAAAATGACTTAACCCAAACAATCCAATAAACTGCTAACTTCACAAGCTTTAACTTGTGTGCTTATCTCTGCTAATTTGCATTGTTACCTGTGTCTTCTGAAACATGATCCTTTTGTACAGAACCAAAGCTTATTAGCCAGTATTTAAATAGAGGATAAGTGTTTCCTTGTTGTGCTACTGTTTTTTCCAGCAGTAAACAGAAAATTAGTCTCAGATTTTAATGTATTTAAGGCTGCTTTAAAAATTAGCATGGGAGCTAACGTAGTGTAAGAGTTCATTAAGATATATAGAAATAAATTCTTGTAGTGCCAGTGGTAGTTATTTCCTTACACTGTATGTGGAATATTCTGAATTAGTGGCTACACTGTTAAATATAGTGTTACATGTTTTTGAATGTGAATTTGATGTTTCTAGCCAATTTGGATGGGAGTATTACTCAAGGGATGCATGAAGTTTTGTGTGCTGTGTTCATGAATTACATCTTTCATAGAAGCTTTATAGATGTTCATTCTTGTATACCAGGAATTGGTTTGTTAGCTACTGCACTAACATATATTTAGGTGCTTGACAAAAAGCATGTTTTTCCCTTTTATTAACCATGTCCAATCATGCACGCAATGATGGACGAAAAAACAAAATTTATTGGAGTCTACTACTGTGGGACTAAACTGCTTGTTTGATAGCAGTAAGCAACATAAACAATTGTTTTTTCCATCCAGCTATGCTTCATAATTTCCTGCTGCTGGCTTGAAGTGTTTATTTGTAATTTAGAGGAGTGCTTTAGCTATGTTCATATAGGTTAAATCCTCCTCCCAGTAGTTTCAGCAACATTGTTATTGCTTGAAAGTAGTAGTGCAATTCGTAGTTAAATCCTGAAAGATTTGCTTTGCATGTTTAACCGTTTGCTTCTTCACAGCTCCATCGACTATGTTGGTGAAAGATGAATATGTTCATGACTACGAGGGGCAGCCATCATTGTCTTCTGCAGAAGGCCATTCAGTCCAAACCATCCAGCATCCACCAAGTAACAGGGCATCTACAGAAGCTTATAACGGTGCATCTACAGAAGCTTATAGCCCCCCAGCCATGTTAGCTCCTACTGAGGCTAGCACTACCAGCACCACTAATTTTCCCAACATTCCTGTGGCTTCAACAAGTAAGATCATCAAGATTATATGAAATACTAAACTGTGAAAATGTGAAAGCTCAAAGATAACCACTGGCTTTTCCTAGAGTAGATCTGGCATTGGAAATGTGCTGTTGCCACACTACACTGATAGTGTGTGGCAATGTGATGTGGGCAGCCTTGTGTTAACAAAAGGTTTTAACTTGCAGCATAATTTGAGTAACTTTTCCTGGTAATCCAGTCTCTTTTTTAATGAGACTGACACTACATGAGTGTTACAAGACTATTTTGGATATGCCAAAGGTTCCATAATATAATGTTAAAGCAATTGACTGCTGACAAAACATCATGGCTATTATTGGAATAATTTGCTGTAGGAAGGGAAGAATTTTATTATTTTATTACAACAGCAAATGGGACACCAAATGAATATTCTATAAGATGGCAGTACCGAGAGGCTTCCAGACAATTCTTTAGTGTTCCACAGCTGGCAGAATGAGTCTTCCAGTTTTAACTTGATTATTTTTATAATGACCCACTGTACTACCAAAGTGACAGCCTTAATATTTTCATGAGTCTGTTGGAGTGCTGTGTCGAAGCTTTTTACTTTTCAGTGTGTATTTGGTATAAGTGAAAGTTTCGGGTTTACCAACATCAAACCTCACATGTCACTCTAGCAGGACAATGAAGCATTCCCATGTTATGTATGCAGTGTCCTGCAGCCCTAACTAGGGAAACCATGAAGTTTGGAGGGGTTTCACGTACTCTTCATCACTTCAATATCAAAGATGTGTGAATATAATGGATTTCATGTTATCAAATTAGAATTACGGTGGTATGGTGTTTTGATAATGCTCTTTAATTTTAGCTGATGACTTTTTTGCTAAAACTAATGATGGTTTTCCCAAGATGAGATACGATGTCTGTATTTGTCTCCAGTACGGAAAAAAGGAAAAGGCAGTTTAATTGTATTGCCTTTTCGCAAGAGTTTATAGTCAATAACTTTTTCTCATCAGTGCTATAATTGTTGGAGTGACGTGGACATGAGAAAACAACTTGCTTTTAGGTTTTAGTTCAAGTTTTCAATGTGTTAAATTCTGCTAGCCAGACCACTTTGAGAAAGTGCAAGTGTGAAACTACTGATCAGTTTAATGTTAATGAATGAGCTGAAGCCTTTTAAAATCAAATTCTGTTAACCTGCTCTGAAATATCTGTAGTTTTACTTCAAAGCTTAGACAATTCTTGAAATATTTATTTGGGAGGGAAAAAAATCCAGCAACTTTCTCAGGAAGGAGTCCAGTGGTGTATGCAGCTCTATTCCCAGCACTATTTTAAAAGCTAAAACACTGTTCAGTATGTTTTAGAGGAATGCAAGTTTAGGCAAGTATCCTCCTTAGGAACAGTAGTTATGCTGAAAATAAGCAACTTATTGGACCTACTGTTGGCCTATTTGGATTAATATCTAATCTACTCCAGCTATGTTATTGAATAAAACATGTGACATCTCTCCTTCTTTCGTCTCAAACTGAAAAATGAGATGTGAACAAAGCAAAGATACGGTTGATAAACAGAGTTCTCTGCATACTTCTAAAGTATTAAGGGTGTGGGAGTCAAAATTAGCTGATGCAGAGCATCTTGCTTCAAGTTTCATAAGACAGTCTGGTGGGTGGAAAAAAAATACTGAAACCAAACTTGTAAGAACTGTGTATTGCAGTGCCCTTAGTTGGGTGTATTTTCCTACACAATAGTGCTGAGCTCTTCTTAATTAAGATTTTGGAATGTTCATGAATAGGTAGTGTCTTCTTTTACCAGGTCAACCTACCAGTATATTGACAGGTAGCCATAGTGATGGACTCTTACAGATTTCTTCAGGGCCTCAGCCAGGAACTCAACAGAATGGGTTTACAGCTCAGCCAGCTACATACCGTCACAGTGAGTATATACATATGTGCACTCTTCTTAGTTTCCTAAAACCGGTTTCCAAATGTTCAGGAGTAACAGAAGATTAGAAGGGAGATGCGGAAAAACTCCCTTAAAACCAACCACTCCATTCTTTTTCTAGATAGTACTACAACTTGGACTGGGAGTCGGACAGCAGCTTACACACCTACCATACCTCACCACCAGAATGGCCATCTTCAGCATCATCCACCTATGCATCCTGGACATTACTGTAAGCAGTGCAGATTTTCAAATCACTTCCTTTGTTTTCAATTTTGTTGAATGGTGGGGGTTCATTTGTGATCATTCTTTACCCCCAAATCCTTTTTTTTGGTTATAGAACTACCAGTACTGTGTTTAGTATATTCTGATAGTCAAACACAAGAGCTTGATGAACTTTCCTCCATTAAAGCAGCAGAGATAGTTATAGTCATGCCATCTATGCTGCAGATGTCTTCCTATATCTAACCAAAATAGCGGTTCCTTTCTAAACCTCTCTTTTTAAGGCTTTGCAATCTTGTAGTGAATATTTCCTTTGTGGAAAAGGAAGTTGATTCAGAATGTGTTGCTTGGATCTTTTTCTATGAAAATGTGGAAATTCCTGGCTGTGTTCGTTTTCTAAAAATTTTGAAGTCTTGTCCTAATGATACAGTAATTTTCATTAAGCCTTGGAAGATGTGTGTCCGTGTACACTAACCAGTTTAAAAGAACTTTGAAAGCTCATGCAGTAAAGTACTTGTCAGTAAAGTGATCTCACCAAAGCCTGATTCATGAGTATAGTTGGCACGTAAACCTGAAAATGTTTTTCATCTACAAAATAGGATTATAACCTCTTCTTTTAAGGTACAGGAGATGGGAAGGGGAAAAAAATAAGTGATCCAACTTCTAATGTGTCTACCACAGTATATGTATTATAAAAGTCTAGTGCAGAAAAACCCCCACCCAAATTAAACTTTTTCTAAATTTTATGGCAAAAAGTTTGAACAGTTCTTTATTTCCTTATATAGTACTTATTCAAATCATTTATTTGCAGCAGTTGTTAGTGGAGGGGAGAATATACTGTGAATTTGTTAAAATGACTTTTCATCTTGTCTCCATCAAGAAAATTGTGGTTTAGATATGGTTACTAAGTTTCATTATTTTGTTCTGTTAGGACTCTACTTCATTTATCATATTTTGTTAGAAATATCAGGATGTAACAGTTTTAGTGGTGCTGTAGAAACATGCACTGAGAAATTTATAGAGTATCTTTCCATAATTAATATTTGTAACAAGCTGGTGATGCCACATAGAGCTTTTCTTGGGTATTGCTATTTCTCACTTCTAAGTTGTGTGTTTTAACACCTAGGAACATTCTGCCTGTTTTGACATCTTGTTGCAAAAACTGCTGTTACTTATAAGACTATGTTTAAGTCTTTCCTTCTTGTTCTCTGCATGCCTGTAAGGGACCTAGTTAGTTTATAAAAGTGGAGAGAATAAACTGACTGATAATAAGGCTGCATTCAGTGTATTTTTCTTTAGTAAATGAGTTTGGGGGCGGATGTGAAGCCCATTGGCTTCTATTATATCTCCATGTTGCATCTGGTTTCTGCTCTCTCCTGGAGCTGGGTCTGGCTTGATCAGTATGCAGCCTTACCTCCTGGGATACTAATGGAGCTCATTGCTCTACTCAACTCCTGAATTTTTAGGAAGCCTCTTCTGTGGGCATTTTTCTCCCTTGTCAGATTTGGCCAGTTGATTCAGAAATTACTGGGACTCATAACATCTGGCATCCTGACATGTCTTTTTTTTGGTAGAAAAACATGTTAAGAAAATCTTATTTTTCCTCGTGTAAAACAAATTGCATGTTTTCTTTTAAAGGGCCAGTTCACAATGAACTTGCATTCCAGCCTCCTATATCAAATCATCCTGGTGAGTAAATTCTGACATGTAATGTTAAGTATTGTGGACTTCATGGTTTGTGGTTTTTTTTTTTTTTTTTTTTTTTTTAAATCAAGTACTCTGAATCTCTCTCTCAGATTTCAAAAGGTGAGGAAAGGAGGAGAGGAACCATTTTGCGATAAGCCTTCTTTTGAATTCAGACCTCTGTTTTGAAATAGTGATGTACTCTGTGAACTGAAATTAATTTAGATGCCCAAGTCAAAAAATTGCAATACTCAAGCCCAGGCTGAGCTTGTTCATACCCTGGAGGTATCTGAACTCTGAATGTCCTCGATCCTAAACTTTGCAGGGTGTCTGAAGTTGTACATTTTGCCTGCTTAGAAACGTTGTGGAGTTTAGGTCATGCCAAAGCCCTCTTGGATCCATGATCTGGAAGTCCATCATCACAGCCACCCTGAAAGATAGGTATTACCCTTAGCATTTTGATACTGGAGTTCCTCTTTGGATCTTTGCGTACAAGCTTGCTCTTTCCAAGAGTCTTCATTAATGGTAGCAGTTCATGGAACTAAAGAGGTCTTGTCTTGCGGTACAAGCTAGCTCTGTTGCAGGTGCAAGGTGGTATTCTGTTTTTAACAGCAGCAAAGCTGTTGTCTGCATAGTTGAAAAGCCTGAAAGTTTCTCATTTATTCATTGGCCAGTGACTAAATCAGTATCAGAAATAAAACTCTTCATAACTGCTGGCTCAACTGTAGCTGAATTGTATTTCATATTATTTAGTATATCTTTATCACCCTATTGATTTACTTATTGATTTCACCCTGTTCAGTCCTCAGACATGAGTGTTTATTTGAAGATAAAAAAACTTAAAGGAATTCAGGCACCTTGGTTTATTCTTTTCTAATATAAACAGAACAACAGTTTCTTAAGATAAGTAGGTGTGCTGTTGGGTGCTGCAGTTAGTAATGAATGAGTACTACTTATGGCACTGGGAGAGAGCTCTCTTTCCTCTTGACTTGTCAGGCTGCTATGTTTAGGTCCTATCACATTAGCTCTTCTGCTTCCTCTGAGTATGCTGTAGTGCTGATTTTTGTTGCCTTCCCCAACAAGCTGCTTAAGTGCCAGCTGTGTTACCCTTGTGTAAAAATGGGCCCTTATAGTCAGCAAAGGTGCTGAGTCCCCAAAATCCCCAGTGACTTAAGCTTATGGTGACTTAAGGTTTTAATGTGTCTGAAGAGAGAAACTAACACTGAAAGCACGCACAACAAACTATGCAGAAGGCTTGACAAGCCAGTTGCTCCCAGGTAGCACACAGGCAGCAAGTACACATGTACCAAGTGACTTTGTGTCAGGTTTCCTTGCTTACTTGAGTGTTTGAGTTTCAGTAGCATCCTCTAGGGAGTCAGGGTTTCCTTTCCTTACATGGTAGCTTCTTCCAAGTACCATTTTTCCCTTGTAGGCAGTTTTACTTTTTAAAGTAGTATAAGTTAAAAGTCACATCTTTTGCTATTAAAACATGCCATTTTGTTCTGCTCTCTTGCTTAATATTTCCTTATTTTATCCCATACCTGGCTTGTGTGCAGACAAGATCAGTATGTGATCTTTGATGTTTTTCCCCCATTGCCCTGCTTTCCAAATCTGGTTTGCTTTGCAGGGAAGATAGAGAAAACTGACTTCACCTAGGAGGTAGTTACTCATATCTTAAGCCAGATCTGTTTGAGTGTTAGTTTCTGTGAGCCTAGCCACGACTACACATATATGTATTACTCCTTTATGCTAAAGGAGGACAAAATCAAGATATAGTCATAAGGTGCAGGAATTCAGAGGGTTTAAAATATCTAGCTGGAATTGTATACAATACAAAGACTTGTAAGATAGTAACTACAAAAAACCCTAGCATTGATGTGTGCTAGGGCTTGACACATCAAGCCAGTGTTCGTTGTATGTAGTATTTTTCTGTGCTAGCAGACATGTCTTTGTCTATCTGAACTTGCTTATGTGAATGTGCACTCTTTGAATGATAAATGCACTTGCAGAAGGCTTAATTGATTGTCTGGAATGGGCATATAGGGGTTTTTTGTGCCTTTCAGTCAGTTAATTGTATATATTCTTTAGCTCCAGAGTATTGGTGTTCAATTGCATATTTTGAAATGGATGTGCAAGTTGGGGAAACATTTAAGGTCCCTTCAAGCTGTCCAGTTGTTACTGTTGATGGCTACGTGGATCCTTCTGGAGGAGATCGCTTTTGCCTGGGCCAGCTTTCCAACGTGCATAGAACAGAAGCCATTGAGAGAGCAAGGTATTCTGCAGATCCCAAAAGTTCTGTATCTCTGTGGTATTTGATAATATTTTGTTTTGCCTTCAGCATGCCTCCCTTTTGAAATTACAAGTACGGTATGTTTCTTTTGACTGAATTAACTGTAGCAGAGTATATCTTTCTAGGCCACTACTGTAATGCATTCAAAATGTGAACTGTGTAACAAAGACCTTCAGTGCTTTGCAATAGTGCATTTTCATTGCTTTCAAAGGCTTTATCTTTCAGGGATAAAATTAGCAACTCATGCCATTATATATGCAAGGTGAGAATAACTGCAATATGTAGATTTGTCAAAGGAGCAAAGGAAGGTTGATAAAGAGCTAGTTGGATTTTCATTCATTTTCACCATGCATGTGCTAGGCTTTGATGTGGAAGCAGAGAACCGAAGCAGTCTTACAACTTGATTTTTCTTCTTTGAAATGAAAAGGAGTAAAATTATTTAATGTCTTCAGAAATGTTGCATTATGTAAGTTAAAATGCTAGATTACTTTAATGTGATCCAAATGAACATACAGTTCTGCAATAAAATGTGGCTTTGTATGTGTACTTGAGTGACTTTCTATACTAGAATACATGTGGGATTTCACACTTCTGAACAGAACTGAATGTGTTTGGTATCCTAGCTCTGTATTGTCAGTGAGTGCATTAGTTGCTACTTGAATATCATTGCTTCTACAATCTGTGTTTCCCATAGATCTTTACATGGCATTACAGATATTTTTTTTTTTTTTTTTACTTTACAGATTTTGTGTAACTGTACACTAACTTATACCTAAGAGGATAATTACAATTTCAAATCCTTGTATGTGGAGTGTAAATTAAGGTGTCACAGATGACTGAGAGCTGGAGAATTGTTTATTTAGTAAAGATTTGATTTATAGTATGTATACACAGGTGCATTGGAACTGTTTTTCTTTAAGGTTGCACATAGGTAAAGGGGTGCAGTTGGAATGCAAAGGAGAAGGTGACGTGTGGGTTAGATGCCTCAGTGACCACGCAGTCTTTGTTCAGAGTTACTACCTGGACAGAGAAGCAGGGCGTGCACCAGGGGATGCTGTTCACAAGATCTACCCAAGCGCATATATAAAGGTTGGTTTGATGTTCCTAGATGAAAATCGTGGGGGAAATAGCATGCATTTGGTTCTTGTCAAACTGAAAGTTTTAGGGCTGTTTGGTTTTGGGGTTTGTTTTTGGTTTTTTTTAAGGTTAATCAAAAGCAAAGTTGCATTTATTTCAGTGTCTCATAGCTTCCTTAACATTTACAAGTCACTTTAGATGACTCTTTAAAATTACTCTACACTGAAAGTATCATCTAGATACTACAAAAGTAACTAATTTTGTATTTTGTCACACACAATCTTGATAAGCTTTTCATATTTTTAGCCTTACAATTTTAAATTCTACTAATTTTTTTTTAGCATAGATTATCTATTTCTTTCTCTAAAATGAGAAAAATTAGGAAAATATGTATAAATGCAGTAGAAGTGTAAAGTGTGTGTTAGTGTTATTAACATGAAGTGATCCAGAGGCCACAGAAAGTTGCATGGAAACAAGTTACTTTCAGGAGATTCTTACTTGGACATGCCTCTGCCAGACTTGAAACTTTAGAAGTCACACTTGTTTAAAAAAACATAAAATCATTATTGAATTAGAAAT